TCACAATTGGAGAGACCAATTCCAAGATCCAGGTGTCAGCAGGGCTGCTTTCTCCTGAGGTCTGTCTCCTTGGCTTGTAGGTGCTGTCTTCTCCCTGTGTCCTCACATGGTCCTCCCTCTGTGTGTATCCTGTCCTCATCTCCTCTTCTTATAAGGACACAAGTCAGATTGAAGTAAGACGCACCCTAATGATCTCATTTTAATTTAATTACCTCTTTAAAGATCCTCTCTCCAAATACAGTCACATTCTTAGGGCTTCAACATGTGAAGTTGGTGGGGGGACAAAATTCATCCCATAACAGTCCCCTTTTGATCCATTTCCATCTCCCACACCTACCTTTTTACATATGCATAGCGTAACTAAAGGATAAACCATTTCACTCAAAACCCAAATGCCTTTTGGATGATCCAAAGATGAATATAAAAATAGGATGATTTTTGTTTTCCCTTGAAAGCATACAAGGTTCAATCTGTGGAAGCTGCATTTGTGAGCACTTTCAGGGAACGGCCCTGACTTTATTTCTCCAGCACTCGATTTAGTATCCAGTATGGAGAAGGGGCTAAATAACTTCTTTAGTCATCTACTACTGCATAACAAACTACTCCAAAACTTAGTGGCTCAAAACAGCAATATTTACTGTATCTCTCAATTACGCAGATCAGGAATTCAGGCACAACTCAGGAAAATAACTCATCTCCACACGGCGTCAACTGGGGCCACTTGGGCTGCTCTTCAACTGATGGCTGGGCTGAAATAGAGGGTCCAGGATGGCTTCGCTCTCATGCCCTCCTCCTTGGCAAGAATAAATGGAAGGGTTGGCTAAGCTNGCAAAATTGTGTCTGTAGGTGTGTATGTACAGTTGTGTGGGTGTGAACATAGGTGGGTGTGTAGAGATGTGTGTATGTGTGTGTGTGTGTGTGTGCACTTGTCTGGGGAGAAGGTGGTGTAGGCCTGCAGAGGACCTGCTGCCCCATTGTCAGGTGAACTCAGGCATGCCGAGGGCACATGCTTGTGCCATCAGCAGTTCAACCACCCTGGTGTCCTGTATCCAAGGCCAGGATCCTTTGCACCACTTGCCAGGCCAACTTCTTCAGTCAAAGCACCACTTCCTCTGCACAGACCTTGGTAGCTCCCAGCCTGCTCTGAACCGTGTCCCAGCCTGGGGTGCTGCGACAACAGAAACTTATTTCCTCACATTTCGAGAGACCAATTCCAAGATCCAGGTGTCAGCAGGGCTGCTTTCTCCTGAGGTCTGTCT